CCGCTTACGCCTGCCAGCTACCTGGAAGATTCACAACGCCTTCCATGTCCAAATTCTGAAGCCCTATCGGGATCCGAACACGATCTTTGTCGGACACCAACCGCCGCCGCCACCGCCCGTCCTCGTCCAGAATGAACCCGAGTACGAGGTCGAGTCCGTGCTCGCACACCGCCGTCGACGGAATGGCACCGTGGAGCTTCTCATCCGTTGGAAGGGTTATGATCCTTCTAAGGACAGCTGGGTACCTGAGTCCGACATGGGTAACGCCCGTCGTCCTGCATGACTACCTTGTCAAGCAGGGTGTTACTTCTACTACCCAGCTTTGAGGGGGGGAAAGTGTGAGAGTACGACCCCGTTACACCACTTGGCCTTTTTCTTATTTCCTTCCTATTTCATTTCTCTTTTTATCTCATCTCATTTGGTTTCCTATTCTTCCTTTTCCATTAACTTTTGGTTTCTCCTGCTATTATAATTATATCACCGACTAGGCTTGGGATGTACTGGTGCGCTATATCTAGCGTAATCCTGCCGTAATCCCTTAAAGCCAATGGCCTCGCGTGGCTATACGCAGTGTGATTCTATCTTCTAAAAGGGTCTATTCCCTTAGGATAAGATAAACCTGGTTACCTGATGTACTCTGGAAGTATGAAAGCGCCTTGTACTGATCGATAGTGCAATCTTTCCTCGAGTCATTCGATCCTGTGACAGCCTCCACCCCCTCCTCTGCTACCCCCGCCGCGCCCAGCCTTGGGGCGACGCCCCTTACCCGGACGGAACTGCGCCACAGCGGCTGTGTCCGCTGCACGGGCGGTCTCAGCGACAGCAACAGAACCGACAGATTAAGAGCACTGGGCGGGGGCACAACCCTGAAAGATAGGGACCGGCGCACTACCGCTAGACTGGGCGATAGAGCGCTGACGGGTCTACTCTGACGGAAAGTATTGCCTGGATAATTGCCTGAAAATTGTTTACGTACTTTTTTGGTGCGATTTGTGTTCAGTTACGATTTATATTTCGGCCTCGGCTGTAAATTAGTTATGTGTTGTGTGTAACGGGTATGGGTTTCAGATTTATAGGGGTCGATTTTTTAAAGGGGACGAGATTTGATTCGCGTAGGTGCATCCGGACAGTTCATGCCAAGCGGCGTACAAGATCCATATCCTACCCTCCCTCATTCTACTTTCTTGCCCTCGCGACTTTGGAGTAGTCAGGTGATAGGCTAGGACCGCTGCTATGATTAGGCCATCTTGAAGCCGTTAGATGAGGCGCTCTACGCACGGATCATTACCTTGTTGTGGAGGGGGTATAGCACAAGTCGAATCGCTTAACAGCTAGGCATAAGGAAGAGTTCGGTCCATCAAGGCGATTGTAGAGTCTTGCCGCGATGACTTGCGTCCTACGATGCCCTCAGCCGGTCGCCCTCGCTTAGTGACAGAGAGAGTCCGACCCGTCATAGTTCGGTCGATTACCAGCGAGGAGGCAAAAATCTCCGCTCACGTGGCGATGATCGTCGAGAAGCAGCACGGCATCACGTTGCATCCTAAGACAATGCGTAACACTTTGAATGGCAGCGAAATTGTCGCAATCAAGCATCCCACGAAGCCGCGACACTCTTGGAAAAACATACGCGATAGGCTAGAATGGGCCTGTGCCCACGCGGACTGGACGGTTGACGACTGGAAGTGAGTGATTTGATCGGATGAGACCAAGATCGATCGTTTTTCATCCGACGGACTCTCATACACCTGCGTTCATGAAGGGACTGCCCTCCAAAGACACCAAATCAAGCAGACCGTCAAACACGGGGGCGATTGCTTGATGATTTGCGACTGCATACCGTATAAGGGAGCGGGTTTCATGAGCAAAACATATGGTAGGATGGACGGACTGCTCTCTCTGAGTATACTGCAGGACGAGCTCAATAGTACGATCGGGTTTTACCAACTTGCACCCTCGGAAGTTATCTTCCAGCACGACAACGACCCCAAGCACAAGTCGCGTATCGTGCATGAGTGGCATCGAGAACAGGAGTTTGGGGTGGTGGAGTGGCCGTCATCCTCACCCGACCTCAACCAAATAGAGCATCTATGGGCTCATCTCAATGCGTGGCTAGCCAAGCACGAGAGGCCTCCCACTGGTATGCTGGACCTGTGGGGGCCTGTCAAGAAGAAAAAGGGAGAAGATATCATCGGATTTGTGCACCCACCTGGTGGAAAGCATGCCCAGGAGGGAGAGGGCGGTGATTAAAGTGAAAGGGCGGTGGACTAGGTACTAGTTTGGGGTTGTTGAAACTTGCTGCTTGCGCCTGGCGCAAATTGTCCGGATGCACCATGATTGTTAATTTGTGCTATTTGCTGTAAACATCAGTATCTTCGAGAAATGTAAGGCATGGGCCTATAGCCTTACCCCAACCTACATACACTGGGCACACCAAAAGATTAAGGCTTAATGTGCATGACCCCTTAATATTCCGAAATTCGTCCAAGTGACGAACATGCGGACAATACTTTCCGCCAGTGTATATGGCAGTCAGGGTGTCTACAAAGTAAGTAAGGGTGAGGTCAGCGGGGTGGAGACTCAGAAAATGGTCGCGGGCAGTGGCAAGGCGGTCAGGGAGGCGGGTGGCAAGTAGGTAGAGGGTGGAGGTGAGGGGGGGCTGGAACACACAAAACTGGGCCTCAGTGCAGGCAGCCCGCCAGGTCGCGTCTAGAGTGCGCAAGTGCGTGGCCAGGTTAGCGACAGTAGGGAAAGAGGCGAGGTCAGGGAAGAGCATGGGCAGGATCAGGCGGCCGACGGAGGCAGCGGGCGGGGTAGAATAACGCGCGACTACAGCCTCTACGAATTCCTTGGCAGTCCTGACCGACCTAAAGCGGGGGCGCTCAGACGGGGCAGGGCGTGGCTGATCACTAGCTGGGCGTCAGCGTCACGAGACAACCAGACAGAGGGGGCAAGCGCAGCAGCGGTAGCAGAGTCACGGTCGGCAGACGTGGGGTCAGCAGGTAGAGGAGCAGGGGAGTCAGGGCAGGGGAGTCAGGGCAGGGAAGCGTACCGTCAAGGTGGACTGCCAGGGAGTGGCCGTCCTGCCGCTGACCAGTGAGCTGGCGGCAGAGGTCGAGGAGCCACGTGTCGGACTCGAGAGGTTGACCCTCCGCGTCAAAGCGCAGGACTGAATCCGCCATCACAGTCACGGCTGCAGCAGACGGGCGGCAGTGAGATGAGGTGAGCAAAGGAGTGCGGTGCAGGATGGGAAGGAGCGGTGAAGCACGGGTACGAGGGGTGCCGTGGGGTTAGGAGAGGTGCAATGTGGTGAGGAGCGGTGGATGGCGATTAGGTGCGGTGGAGGGCGGTTAGGAGCAGTGGAGGGCGGTTAGGTGCGGTGGAGGGCGGTTAGGAGCGTTGGAGGGCGGTTAGGAGCAGTGCAGTGCGGTTGAGAGCGGTGTAGTGCAGGTGGGGAGTGGGGCAGTACTTCGGAGAGGGGTGCTGTGTGGTTGAGAGCGAGCTAGGCGACGGGTCCAGCGGGCAGGTGCCGGGGCTGGCGGCTAGAAGACGGGGCCGGCGGGGGGTGACGGGGCCGGCGGCTGGCTGACGGGGCCGGGGCTAGGTGGAGGGGGCCGGGGCTAGCTGCAGGGGGCCGGGGCTAGCTGGCGGGGCCGAGGCTAGCTGACGTGGCCGGGGCTAGCTGCAGGGGGCCGGGGCTAGCTACAGGGGGGCGGGGCTAGCTGACGGGGCCGGGGCTAGCTGCAGGGGGCCGGGGCTAGCTGGCGGGGCCGGGGCTAGCTGACGAGGCCGGGGCTAGCTGACGGGGCCGGGCTAGCTGCAGGGGGCCGGGGCTAGCTGCAAGGGGCCGGGGCTAGCTAACGGGGCTGGGGCTAGCTATCGGGGCCGGGGCTAGCTGACGGGGCCAGGGCTAGCTGACGGGGCCAGGGCTAGCTGCAGGGGGGCCAGGGCTAGCTGCAGGGGGCTGGGGCTAGCTGACAGAGCCGGGGCTAGCGGAAGGGGCCGGGGCGAGTTGACGGGGCCGGGGCTAGCTGCAGGGGGCCGGGGCTAGCTGACGGGGCCGGGGCTAGCTGACGGGGCCGGGGCAACCCTGACGGAGCCGGGGCGAGCTGCAGTGGGCCGGGGGCTAGCTAACTGGGTCGGGGCTAGCTAACGGGGCCGGGGCTAGCGGAAGGGGCCGGGGCTAGCTGACGGGGTCGGCGGCTAGGCTACGGGGCCTGTGATTAGGTGACGAGGCCAGCGGCTAAGGGACGGGGCTGGCGGCTAGGAACGGGGCCGGCTAGACGAAGGGGCTGGCGGCTAGGAACAGGGCCGGCTAGACGAAGGGGCCAGTTGTACGACGGTTTTGTCCAAGAGAACGGGGCCCGCGAAATGATGGGGCCCGCGAGGTGACGGGGCCAGCGAGGGAACGGGGCCGGCTGATCGACGGGAGCGACGCGGGCCTAGGGCGGAGTTCGGTGGGCCGGGGGGGGGGGGGAACGGGGCCTACTCGTGATACCATCTTTGCGTAAAGTAATAATCTGAAATCATAGCATACATGGCAATATATGCTAAGGAGTTTGTACCCTCTAAGGTACGACCCTATACAGGCTATATAACATATAAAGATATGTTTGACACTAAGACCCGCTACAATGCTGAGAAATTCAGGGTTCGCTAAGAAACCTTGCTGAGCAATCAGAGTTTACCCTTACAAAAAGCCTGAAAAAAACAGGGTGTGCTATTTACAAAATCCTGCACAATCAGGGTAAGTACCGAGAAACTTCCTGTTTTTTCCTGACTTCTGGGGGCCTGCTCGGAACTCTCAAGGTTGACATCTGAGTTCTTTTCTATCTCAGGGAGAAGCTTGACAGGCAGCCGGGATTGCGTTGCATGCCAGGCAACTGAAATGGTGACATTGAACCTGCGAAGGTCAATGCCACACTTGCTGAAGTGGCAAGCCTGTCGTGTTACCCTTAGTCTTGTGATTTCTTTGTGCTGGGCATTGTGGACAAGCAAGTTTGGAACACAGTAACTTCTCCAGCATCCAATAAATACCAGTACAGCCCTAGGCACAGTGCAATCTTGCAAAGCAATGCACCAACCAACAGGCCAGACTAGAACCTACTGCAGGTTATAACTGTTGACCCTTGCACCAACTCCCAGACATGCCCTTTCTGTACAGCAGTGCTGAGGCCTGATATGCTGAGTCGCTGATGTATGCCGATAGCTGTCTACAGCAGGCTTGCTAGAGTGGGGCTATGGTAGCACCTGGAGCATGATGGCCACTGTAGCCTCCACGGCTGCGGCGGGTGTGCTACCAGCATTGCTGACAGCCCTTCCTGTGGCAGCAGAGAGCGCAGGCAGTGCTAAGCCCGGAGTGGAATCACCGTGCTGAGGGGCATGGGAGGAGTGAGAGGCATGGTAGCATTCAGAGTCTGCAGAGGAAGCCTGTTCAGCTGCCTCCAGAGTGTGAAAGGGTTGGGAGAGAGGGTTGCAAGGCTGCAGACTGGCAGCAAAGAGAGTGGCGTGGATGGGTGTAAGCGCGTTAGGCCTGCTGAGTGTGACTGTAAGGGGAGCTTCCCCAAACCCAGTGCGCGCGATGGCTGACAACCAGGCCTCCAGGGACAGCCTCTCATACTCCCTCTTCCGCCCCTCCCCTTGCTGCTGCCTACCGTCCGTGGCCCTATCCCTGTGCCCATGGCTGTCCCCACATCCCTCTCCATGCTCCTGCTCCCCGCCCTCAATCTCGCCATGCTTCCCGAGTGGCTGCTCATCCTGATGCGGCTGCTCAGGAACGAGCAGGGAGGCAAGCTTGCGCGAGAGCAGCTGATGACGTGGCCGTTCCATCATGCGACACGTGGCGTCGTTACAGCTGGCGATGGTGGCGGAGGGCAGAGCGACCGACAGGAAGGGCGTGGAGGAAAGATCCAGGAAGGTTCTGGTGTGTTGTAAGGCGGACCAAAGAAGGGGTTTGGGGAGTGGAGGGCAACGAGAGAGGGAGGTGAGAGAGTTGGTTGTAGTGATGATGAGGGAATAAGCATGACGCAAGTCAAAAGAGGACCAGAGCCAAAAGACCAAAAGGGGCAGCTGCGGTTAGCCAAAGGAGCGAAGCAGGGGCAGATGGACTCAGGCAAAAGAGCAGTTGCAGAATTCCATGTGCCTAGTGTCATGAATGTTACTTGGCTTCATGAACAGTAATGAGTCTCATGAAGAGTAATGAGTCTCATGAACAGTACCTGAGAAAGGCTGCCATGTTGGCCGCACAGGCACCAGGAGGGCAGCATGGGGGCGAAGTAAGAGAAGCAGCAGCAGCAGCAGCAGAGGGGGGGGGAGGTGATGGGCAGGCGGCAGCAGGAGGGGAGGGTGACGTGATAGCAGCGGGTTGGGGGGGAGGAGAGGCAGCAGGGATGCGGGGAGTTGCAGATGGGCGAGGTGGTTTAGATGCGGAAAAAGGAGGGCTGGAGGCAGCAAGAGGAGGCACAGCACCGACCCCTCTGCTTGATCCCGACCTATCAGGCTCCCCGCTCGCACTTCCCATTCCCCCCTTCCCCCCCCCACCCCTTTTTTCCACGCTGTTCCCCCTCCCCTGCTCCCTGGCGTCCTCCGCCAGCTCTTCCAGCAGCTCATCCTCCTCGCCGCCCTCAGCAGAGTCGCGCAGATAGTGGCTGAGCGACACCGACGTGGGGAACAGCACCCGCACTGGCCTCGCTCGTACGCTTGCGACCTTCTCCTTCTCCTCCGCAGTGCCACCGTTCTGCACACCCTCAGACCTCCCGTCACCCCTACTTCTATCGTCACCTCTTCCCCCACCCCCGGCTTCTGCCCCACGTTCTCCATGTCCCCACCCCTTTCCCCTTGCATCCCTCATCTCCACCCCACTGACCTCTTTCCGCTCCGTTACCGCTTCCCCTTCCCTCCTCTCCCCGCCATTCCTCAATTCCCCCACGCTTTTGCCTTCTTCCAATTCTCTGGCGCCCCCTAAATCCCCTTCTGTCTCTTCTCCAACGCCTCCTGCCTCCTCCTCTCCCTGCTGTCCACCACTCCTCCCCTCCCCTGTCCTCGAGCCACCACCACCATCCCTCTTGTGGACCACCCACACTGCCCCCGCTTCTTCCCATGTAAACCCTCCCATATCCCCTGTCTCCTCCCCCTTCCACGCCGCGCCAAACTCCAACCCCAGCCAGTCCACCTCCGCCCGCCTCTCCCCTCGCCCGCTCCTCTCCCCCCCTCTCCTCCTCTCCGCTCCCCCCTCCTGCCTCAGCAGCGCACCTGCATCGAAGCTTCTCCGCCTCTCCCCGAGCCCCGGCCCTTCCTTCCACACATGCGGCCCCCTCTGACCCGCTCCCTCCCCAATCGCGCTCGTAGATTCGTCCGCCCCTGCCTTCTCTCCTTCTGCCCCTGACCCTCCTCCTCCTACCTGCTCGCTAGCAGCAGCAGCACCAGAAGCAGCGGCAGCATGAGCGCCCCTGTGCCTCTCCTCCCCGTGCTCTGCCCATGGCGTCTCCCCTTGCCCCTCGCCCCCTACATCAATGCTGCTGGAAGGGCTAAGGACGGGGATACTGCCACTGCTGCTGTTCGTGCTGCTGCTGCTATCGCTGTTGGCCATAACGGGACCTGAGACCTTTGACTTCAAAGCAGCATGACCTGCCCTGTGGCTGACGCCGCTGCCTTGACTTGCCTCGCTTGCACCTCCGCCTCCCCATCCTCCCCCGTCTGTCTCCCTCGCTACGTCACCCTCTCCACTTATCCTTTCTCCTTCCCCCACGTCCCGTCCCTCCCCGCTCTCCCCTTCGCCCCCACATCCTTTTCCCCCTCCCTTGCCCTGTTCGACTCCCCGTTTTTCTCTCGCGCCTCCTCCTTCCCCTTGCGTTCTCTCCTTCTCTCCCTCCCCCCCTTTCCTCTCGTCCTCCCGCTCTTTTGTCCCATCCGCTCTCCCCTCTTCCCCTTCCCCCCCCTCCCCCTCGCCCTCCTCCAGCGGTTCCCCATCGTCCTCGCTATCCCCCTGCAGATAGTGGCTCAGCGAGCACGACGGGGGAAACTGCGCACGCGCAGAAAACCGCGGAGAGCCCCCCACGCCTGCGCCTGTCCCTGCCCCCGCCTCCCACGCGCCTTCTCCGCCGGACGCTGTGGTTCCCCAGCAGCTGAGACTCACGCGGCTCACGAAGCCGCATGGCAGGTCGCCCAGAGGGTCGCTCTCCTCCCCCCCGCCGTCCGCGGACGTGCTGCGGCTGCTGAAGGGGCTCGAGAGTGCAGGCGACGGCGGCGTCTGCTGCGCGCCTGCCTGCTGCTGCGGCCGCCCTGCGAGCTCTGCGCGCGAGTCGCTGGCGTCTAGCAGCAGCGTGTCCGCGTGAAAGCTGACAAACTCCGCCCCCCCCCCCTCCCCGCCGCTCGCACTGCGACTCCGCCGCAGATCCTCCGCCCGCCCCCCGCCTCTCTCCATCCCGCCCTCCGAGAACGCCCGGGCGCCTAACCCTAGAATGGGCGACCCTAACGGGCTGTCGTCACCGCCATCGCCGCTGCAACCCACAGTGCCGTCTCTATCGCCCGCTCCGCCGTCTGCTGGCGCCGAAGGCGGCAACGCACGCCGTCGCCCGGCAGCAGCGTCTGCGCGTGGTGCAGGGCGCGGGGCGTCGCAGCCCGGGTCCTCCTCGTGCGGCATCTCCAGCACGGGCGCCAGCGGCGACCCCGGCCGGCTCAGCCCCTCCATCCCGCTGCTCAGCCGCCGGCTTAAACCCTCGTCCCCTATTGGGACCGCGATAGGGGCTAATAACGCGGACGGGGAGATGGCTGGAAGGGGAATGGACACGCCGGGTGGCATGGATGCGACTGCTGCGGCGGTCGCCGCGGCAACAGCAGCCGCGGCGGTTTCGAGCGCGTCGTCCGGGCTGATGGCTTTAAGAGCGTCTAGCAGCTGCTGGATAGTCGGCTGGCCGGCACTCTGACCGGGCGTCGAGAAAGGCGCGACGGAAGAGCGGATGACATCGCCGGCTGCAGACCCCTCCCAGGGGTTATAGGCGCAGCTGACGCCTCTAGGGCTGCTTGTGAGACTGCCGGATAAGCTGTGCGCCGCGCTGCTCGCGTGGCTTCCGGCATGGCTACCCGCATGGCTACCCGCATCCGCATGGCTTACGGCATGGCTACCCGCATGGCTACCCGCATGGCTACCCGCATGGCTACCCGCATGGCTACCTGACCCCGCAATGAGGGAAGTGAACACCTCCAAGGAGGTGGTCTCCTGACCGTCCTTCGGGCTATTCTCCCTGCTGCTCTGCCGGCTGCTCTGAACGCTGTTCCGCTGGCTGCCGCTGTAACTACCGCCACGTGCGCTGCTGGAGCCTCTGCCGCGCGGGCTGCTGGCATAACTGCCACGTGGACTGCTGAATATGCTGCCACGCGGACTGCCTGACCAGCTGGCACGTGGACTGGCGCCGCAGCTGCTAGCGGGGCTTCCGAGACTGCCACGTGGACTGCCATCTCGGCTGCTGGAACCGTCAGGGTGGACCTCTAGCCGGTTCACCTGCAGCGACAGCCGCTGCACGCCAAACGCGTCAACGGAAACAGGCGCCATTTCCGCGACTTGAGGCTGGAAAGTTATATCGGGTTCTGCTGTATCGGGGCAGATAGGGTCAGCGACGGGAATGGGCGAGGCGAAAGAGGGTGGGGAGGACGGACGCCTGACTCGAGGAGGCGGGAACTGCGAGAGCCTCGCTGCAGATCCTGACAATTCCGCGGATGCGCTCACGGGGCGCTGGGGCAACTCCTCGGACGCAAATCGCCTGCCTCTGCTGCGGCTGCTGGTAGAGGCATTGGCGACATGAGACCCGTACCCGTGATCGCTCCATTCATAGCCGTCCGTTGCTGCGACTGCTGCTGCGACAGCTGCTGCGACGACCGACCCTCCTGATCTACCGGACTCGGAGGAACTCGTTACGTCGAAGCGTTCGCTGGTGCTGCGAGGCAGGAAGATGGAGTTCGGTGTCAGTCCCACGCCCATGGACCCCACGTCCATGGACCCGACGCTCTCGCTCCGCCTTCGCCGAGGGACGCCAGACGGGTGCTGCGGTCCCCTCATACCCGCCGTCGATTTCGGCGGCACGCTCCCCGTGGATGCAGACACCGGGAAGGGTGGAGCCGCGGGGAGTCCCAGGTTTCCCGAGGACCAGGAGGCGGGGAAGAACGACGTCCCCGCAGACGAGCTGCTCATGGACGAGCTGCGCTTCGTGCGCCTGAGATTGTGGAAGTGGAACTCCTCGCTCTCGCCGGACGAAGACGCCGGATCCATCCTCTCGCTCATGCTCTTCGCCAGGCCGTTTCCAGCGACCGGCCGCTCGTTACTGATCGTGCTGTCGCTCTGTGCGCTTTTACTCTTCATCAACCGAAACGGATGGCACGAAACCGCCTCCTCCATTGCTGCTTCTTCCTGTCCCTGCTGTGACACTAGCATCTTCCACTCGTCGGAAAAATCTCCGGCTACGCCACCCGCACTGTGCCTTCTCCAGTTTGTGTTTGCCCGTTCGGCTGCCCGTTGCTTCCGCCGCTCCTCCTCTCGCTGCTTCCTCCACATCTTGTCCCACTCCCACTCGGTATCGACATCGGCATCCATGCCTAAACCACGACTCCGCCAGCAACTAGAAAAGGTGATTTGGAGTGGCAAAGCACATAAAGCTAAGCAGGAGAGGAGCTATGAGGAAGTCCTAACTTACTGCTGTATGCTGAGCTAGGTGGGATGGGAAGGGATAAAGCCGAATCGGAAAGAAGATACTGTACAGAATCAAGGTTGAAGTACGGATGGCATTGTCTGGAATGTGGTGGCGGGAATGGACGACGGGCATGCAGTCGGTCAAGAAAAAGGTTGTACAAGAAGCTACACTCGAATTGAAACTGTACATAAAATCAGTTCTCTTTGGTGATCATTTTAGTGTGCTGTGAATGAGTTTCCATTCCTCCTCCCAACCAGGATACTGTACCAGAAGAAGCACACAGCTTCGAGGTTCCATCTCCGCGCTCGATGCCCATCCCTGAACCGACCAATCGGCAACAGAACAATGGACACTTTCTGCCACGGCTGACGGCGAATGGGGAGCGGATGAAGAGAAGAACCGCGTCCATTTCTCTCTCGGCCTGGCCCGTCTGATGGAGTATTCTGCAGCGAGTGTTAGACCCGAGGGCTAAGCGGGAAGAACCGAGGCTGGAAAAAAAAAAAACCTCGGGTCTTGCGACAAACTGACGGCTCCAGCCAGTCAGCTGTCAAACCTAACAACTAACAATGTCGCGCAAATTAAAGCCCGAGTGTAGAATGGTAAAAAACCATGTTTACTGATCATGGAAACAGTGCCAAAAACACTGGACGAAAACAATTTCGGCAAAGCTCCCCTGGCGAAAAATAATTCTCAGCGAAAAAAAAAAAAAAAAAAAAAAAAAAAAAGGGTCGCTTGCGACACAAAAGGAACCCAACATTTTGTAATCAACAGTGCGCAAACAGTGACGACTTTGGGGGTGGGGGGGCAAACTGTACAAAGCATTTCCCGCGCAGTGAGTCCCGGCAAAAAATGCATCTAGAATGGTACCAGGCGTTTTCAACTTCAGTACAGTTTGAGTGAACAGTACGTTCGAGGTTTGTCTCATGTAGCGAATTACGCACGCTGCCCCATTTCCCCAGGGGTTGCGACGTGCTGGTCCCCTTCACTAGGTTACCCCAACTTTTACGAAAGCAAGTTCAGGAATCCTGAACTTGATAGCCAACCAATGTAGACTCGGGCTTTAACTTCCAGCAATAATAAACTCAAAATTTATGGTGGACTCGCAAAGTTCGACCAGTATATTCGCAACCCTCTCCTTCCGACAATTCGCGACTGTGCAGCCGCTGCACCGTAAAGAATATAAAACCCGCAGTTAGGTTGTGACAACCCGCGGCTCCTTCCGCAGCGGATCGACCTCGGACCTGACACTCGCTCCTCAAAGAAGGGATGGGTCACATCAATCTGAGTCGAAAGCGTTACGAGGGAGTATCATAAGCGTTCATGTTCATTTCACCAAGCGCACAGTTACCCTAAATTCAAGTTGTAACCACGCTACACTTCCAATTTCGAAGCAATCACTACAGGGCGTGTCCACAAGGTGGGTGCGTGAGACGTGTAACGGGAGGCGCGGTGGACGTGACAGAAACATAATGGATGGTACCGAGGGCGCGATTCGCATACACCTTCGCCAACCCCATACCGTCGCGAAACTGACGACGAAATGCGAACTCATCAAATTTTGCATTGTTGGAAAAATTGCCAAGCCACTTCCCTCGCCTGGATTTCGTCACCTTCCCTAACCCGCGTATTGTGTTCCGCCCGTGAGTGTCAATTCAGGTCAAGCATCGTTGGATTTCGTACCAGCTGGAAATCGTGTCAGGTTGGAGCCATCACAGCGGAAAATGACGCTCTACAAATAAGGGTTCGTTTTTTGTTTAAAGCGTTTTCGTCTAGTGTTCTGTAACATACTCAGCGTGTCATTTCGCCAAAATGAACGCTTATGACAGCCCTGACAATGACACGTACACCTTCCTCCTAAGGGCGCGTTTTGATAGCCAAGTTTGAAAAAGTCATCGCTCTGAGTACTAAAGTAACGCACAGACCACGACCGGAATGTGCCCAACAGAGCTGCATCGGAAATAGATAACGAGTGTCCCTAAATCCGTCCCCAAGAGGTTTCCGCGCGTGCGACAGATAGCTTCACACACGCAGCACCCCAACCTGAGTGTGAATTGAATGATAATGAACCCTTACAAGCACATTCTTCTACAACGTGAAATTTTGTTGTACAGTCTATGTCCAACCTTATCGGAGCTCACCTGGCTGCACAATCAGAACCGCTTCCCAAAACCCTCATTACACAGGCGATGGGATTGTCACAAGACTAGCTTAGCCAGGAAGCCATAAAATGGCACGAGGTTTAGATAGGAGCTAGGCGGGGAGTTTGACGAGAGAAAAGAGAGAGAGAATAGAAGAGAGAGGGATACAAGGAGGGGTGCTGTACCTTCTATAGTAAAGTTCAGTAATGCCTACCAAGCTTACAATTATATACTAACATCTATAATTTAATACACCCCCTAGGCTTGGTAGACTAGACACAAGCCCACACACACACCCACACCCCCTAACCTAGCACCCCCATTCCAGCAACTCTGGCTACTCCAGCAGGGCCAACCCCAAGGTCCGAGAGATGGCGACGGCGGCAGCCACGGCAGCGGCGACAGCGGCGGCGGCGGCGACGTGCGGCGGCAACAGGCCTGTGGCGACAGCGGTGGCGGCGGCGGCTTCGACTGACGACTGCGGCAACGACAGCGGTCCCCGCCTTTTCGGCGGCGTGTCCAGCCTCCATGACAGGGGGACAGCTGGCGGGAGTCAGGCAGTGGCTGGGGACGAAGGTGAAGAAGGGGGGGAGGGGAAGTGACTGCAGCAGCGGAGCCCGGGAGCATGGCGCCCCGTGTGGTGCGCTGGCTGCATGCGGGCGTGCTGGCCAGCGCTAAGACGGGGCGCTGGCCGCTGCCGTCCGTGCCGTCCGCGCGCTGTCGCGTAGACGTCGCGGCAGCGTGACGGCGCCGTCATGCTGCCACGGCTTGACGTCAACGACGATGCCGCCACGGCTTGACGTAGACGCCGAGACAGCGCGACGCCACGGCAGCGCGTCGCGACGGCCGTGGCAGCACGACGCGGCCGGCGGCCCGACGACGCGGCCACAGCAGCTTGACGCGGCCGCCATGGCAGCGCGAGAGAGAGAGAGAAACAAGCACGCAGCGAAAGCGTGAGGAGCAGGCCCACAAGGAACGACCTGCTCTGATACCATGTGACAAGACTAGCTTAGCTAGGAAGCCATAAAATGGCACGAGGTTTAGATAGGAGCTAGGCGAGGAGTTTGACGAGAGAAAAGAGAGAGAGAGTAGAAGAGAGAGGGATACAAGGAGGGGTGTTGTACCCTCTACAGTAAAGTCCAGTAACGCCTACCAAGCCTACGATTATATACTAACATGTATAATTTAACAGGGATAACTGTTTGATTCACTCAGCTACTTGTCATTATTGCATTTGCGACCAACATAAAGCATGGGACAAGTCATCGCCGATGTGGTTTCGTCGCCACAGAACTGTTCACCGCTATCCAGGGCCAGTGATTTACGGGTATTTCACCCTGATTACCCTGTCTAGCAGATGTTTTTGGAGATTACCCTGATTTTGTAAAGGTATTTGTTTTGTCACCTTCAGTAAAAACCGTACGTGATTTTTTACCTTGCTGTAGACAGGGAGTCGCTTGTTTACCCTGACCAGACAGGGAGTTGCTGAAAACATCTTGGGTTTAGGAACCGCCAAGCCCACCAGATTTGCAAAATGACGAATCTGCCACGAGCGACAATTCACCCCTAGTAGTCCCGCCCACCGGCAGTGGACCTGGCCAAGTGGTCCCAAATGGCTATCACGCGAGGGTGACAACCAGACATTTTGCGGCGGATTTCGACGCGTTGGCAGCTAAGCTGCATCGCAATGCACCAGGTCGCGCAACACGCTGATAGTCACATGCAGCTACACGACGCCATGACTGCCAGCCGATGCGCGCGGGGTCCAGCATGGGAAGAATGGATTCGTCCCTCGCATGAAACCCACGAAGACATATTCCCACTCAACTGTCCCTCTGCAGCCTGGCACCACACGAAATACTCACAGTTTCAACTCCAGTTTCCACCACGCTTCTTACTACTCTTCGTATTCTCCTTATGGATCTCTCTCAGGACGACGAGGAGAGCGATGACGCACCTGAGTGCCATCGTAATGGCCTCAGCGTGTGGGACGTCTTTCCTCTCACCCCGCCCACCGTGGCCCCTTGTATCCCGTGCCCCGTTAGCCCTCCCGTCGATAGTTCTCCTCGCAGTGACCGCTCCAATCCTGCGCCTCGTAGCGCATCTCCTCCAGCCTCGCCCACTAGGACGTGGCATGCTACCTCCGATGGAGGAGGAATGCTCCCATCCTCCATTTTCGTTGCGCCCTCTTGACCCTTCAAGCCTCAGATTCCCAAGAGGCACTGCACATGGATGCAACAAAGGCTCTAAGGGGCTCCTCCCCCGCACAGGCCTCCAAGCCCGCCGCCCGCTAGGCCTCCTTGTGCCGACGAAACCTCCTCTGTCCTCCTCACTCCAACAACCACCGCGGAGACTGAGTATGCGGTCATTAAGTACCGCTTCGACTCTGACTGGTCGAAGCAGTTCCCGTGGCTTCGTTTGAACCGTATGTGGAACCGCTAAAATGCAGTGTCTGTCTGAAGCATGCCAACCCCACATGAGCTACGACGTGAAGGGAGAGGGCGGGCGCGACCTGCAGATTGGCAGCATTCGTTCGCACATCAGCACCTGCGTGCACAAGGCGGTGCTCAAGGCGGAGGAGGATGCCGAGAAAGAATGGGAGCGTCAAGTTGCTCTAACGCGCCGGCAGTGCACCGATCGCCCGGCGCGCCATCTCATCCGGTGCCTACACATCGCAATGTTTGTCTGTACGAAGGACCCACCGATCGCAATGTTTGTTCCCCTTTGCTGGTTCATGGCCAGAGAGGGACTTCCTAATCTGCTGCTCGATGGGGGCTATAACTCCTACTACAGCAAGTAAGTGCTTTGTACAATCACCACTTTGTAATGCGTGTTGATGCTCGATATGGGGTTTATGCATGATAGATGTTGTCTGTGATAGGAATTGGGTTCTTAATCCTTA